CTGAAATAGCACCTTTTCAACCCAATATAAAAAATAAACAAATATGAATCAAGCGAGTACAGTACAGAAAGAATATTACTGTTCGTGTGAACTATTTTGTTTGAATAATTACTTTTTAAATGCACACCGTGGGGAGCAATTACTAAAAGCTTTTCGTATGTAAATTAAACTGCGCTTCTTTTAAGATTTTATTCCGTATAATTCACTTTACTTATGTTTTTAATAAAAAGACGAAAACTATTTTCCCCTTTGTTTACTTATGAACTAAATAACTCAATGAAGAAAATCTACATAACTGGTTTTAAAAAATCACAACTAGCAAGGTTTAATTAAGGAGTTTGAATTTTCCACAAACCCAAACGAAAAAAAAACACGTTGTAATATAAGTTTTAATTGCTTTAAAAACAATGTCTCCCTCTGGCTTTAAAAGCTAATTTTACTTTATGAAGAAAACTGCATGATGACGCCAACAGAAAACTAAATTAAAGCTATCTAATTTACTTTTGAATTGCTTCCATCTGCAAAATTTTGGAAATATGGAAGTTTGCGATGAGCAGTGTTTAGTATCTTTGAGTGTTATCAGAAATAGTTTAGTACCAGTTAGAATATGTTTACCACATTTAAAGCGTAATTGAAAAAAATTCGTTTATTTGTAATATTATTATTAGTGTATAATTTTTTTTTTAAATTTCGTATTTTTAAAAATCTAGAAAAAAAAAAGGATGACACACCTGCAAAGGTTAGGGAAAAAACATGTAGTTCTTTCGCTGTCATAAATGATTACAATCATAAATGCCTAACGCTTTCTGCGTTTTTAACTACAGATCAAAGGTAGCATGTAAGGTAAAATGTTTATAATTAATTATTTACTGAATTACATTTAATTTTGAGGGTCAAATATCAAAATATGTTACTGTGAATGATTGAAATTGGTGGTTGTTGACAATCCCATAGTCGCTTTTGTAAATGTCCAAAATATCTTCTCGTTCTAGTTAGTGTCACTGACAGGTATGTCCTACATCAATGTTTTCTTAAGGTTTAGTACCACTTCCGGGTATACAATTTCGCTGCATGACCTACATCAATGTTTTCTGAAGAGGACACCATACCGCGGAAGAAAATTTTCTTCGCAAATTCTCTTTCATTACTAACTTAAAATTTAAAAGACGGAAAAACTAAGTTCAGAAACTCCTAGATTCAGTCATGATGTTTCAATTGCTGAAAAAAAAATACTTCAAAATATTAAAATGCAAACAAATCATTAGAAGAGAACTTCTCCGTTGCACGAACCTAAATTATCATGTCATAATTTTTTTTCCATTTGTATATTTTAAAATTTTCTTTTCAGTATTTGAAATTTCATGGCTTACTCTAGGTTTGTCTGAATTCACTTTCTCTACATTTTAAATTAATAACGAAGAAGAAGGAGAATTTGCGGCGAAAATTTTCTTCCGTGGTATGACGTCCTCTTGAGTGTCATTGCCCAGTGTGTATTTAGCCGGTACTCCGAACTCTGATGTTTCTCCTCATCTATCCTCAGCAGATATTAAAATATCGAATAAATATAATAATATCATCAGCGAATAAATTAATATCGAATCGGATACAACAAATATATCGGACATTCCACAAAGAGACTATGTGATTATTGATATTGACCGATAAAAGTAGACATTCACTTGATTTCGGTCATGCACAGTAACATATACATTCAGAGAATGCACGTTTCCATGTCAGATTCCGAAGCTTAATTTATTGTTATCACAAAATATTAACATATTTGAGATCAATCCTTTGAGAAATTAAGATAACTTAAGATAAGATTAGAAGTGAAGATTAAGATTACTTAAAGAGTGAAAATCCGATCATTAGAACAATAGTTATTCAATATATCTTTTTTCCGGTTGATTGTACTAATCTTCTATGCTATTGATTACCAATAGGCTTTACATTTTAAATCTTGTGTTTCATCAAAAAGATGAGGCTCTAATTAAACTGGTTTAGATCTTTTATTGTCTGAGGAACTATTTTAGATGAAATGACCAATAATTGGAGTCAATGATTATACTTGCGTTATTTCAAAAATCTTTTGAAAGGAAGATGCCTGGGAAGATACCAAGGATGCACGGTATCGGACCTTGCTAAACTGCATGCATCTTGTTATAATTCGGTTAAAATTCGCCCACAGGTTGTTGGATTTCCAAAGCAATCCTTCAGTCAAGGATCAAAATTGCGAAGGCATGTCTTCATGCTATCCTAAGGGATGATTCTCAGGCCGTCGCCAATAGCCCAACATTCAGTCTGATTGTGCAGTTCCTGACAAAAGGGAAGGAAGGGGATAACAAGTGTGACAATGCGCATTTGAATAAAATAAGGATACAGTAGAACCCAGGTTTAACGAAGCCCTATTTACCGAATATCGCGATTTAACGAATTTTATGAAATTAATGAAGTAGATTTATAGGAAACGATGAATGGCGACTCTGACACAGAAGACGATAAGGATGAGAACTGTTACTTTTTCTGGTGCTTTGGAAAAAGTTTGGAAACAGTGAAGGCTTACCTAATGCCTTAAATGAAGGAGTATTTTCTTCTCATCATGACGTTGAATAAGAACTTTTTAATGTAGCTAGCAAACCTTACTCACGAAATGCTTTAAAATTTCAAATTAATCAGCGTATAATCATTCGCTGTGTTTAAAGTGCCTGATTAAAAAGTGTAAGATTTCAATTTATTTTGCTTATTTGCTTATTAGAAATATTCGAATATTCCATAAGGTTAGCTTTTTTTTTCCCTGATATTACGAATTTTCCTCGATTTAGCGAATAAAATTTTCGGTCCCTATGAATTTATTAAATCGGGGTCAGACTGTATTTTAAATCCTTGTTAAATATTTTTATATTATCTTTTCATCAAAAAAATACATATATTATCAATATTCTAGTTATATTCACAATGTTATTGAAACGAATTGTTAAAGTTTAGAAATTAAATTTGAAATATAATGCTGGACGTAGTGCCTTGTTTGCGAATTGCAAGTTTTTATTTATGTTATAGATGCACAAGTATTGCATAACATTACATAATTCTTTTTATAACCGCCATTGAACAGTCGACCCAATTTTCGGGTTTACCACTACTAATGTTCCACTCCGAATCCTTGCAATTTTGAACCCACTCCAGAAGACAAGGAAACTCCTGGATCAGTATCCCCAGGGGTACTGATTTGTTATGGGAACAGGGAGAACTTTGTGACTCGAAAGATTTAACGTGTATCAGTCACCATTTATTGCTCGGAGAGTCTTCGGCCGGCAGCGATGAAATCCACGACCTCTTGGACATGGGCCTACCAACCAGACTATCCCAGCCCTGGCCAATAAAATTGTGTGTCACTAATCCCCTCACTGTCTAGCGGCAGCTAGACATTATCAATGACTCCATACACTCTCAAAAAATCCAGGGCAAGCAAAGGGTCTGCTGCGAAAGTTTCCGTAGAAATGTGAAGACAAGACAGAATGTGCTCCAGGGATGCACTCTCCACTCCGCACTTTGCACAAACCGGGAAAACCCTGTTGCTATTGCAGGAAGGAACCTCAGGTGGTCGCTGGCAAATCTCGACAGTGCCGTCTGGTCGGCTCCATCGCAGGAAAGGCCAATGGAGCCCCCAGGACATCTTCGACGATACCAATCATGAGATGGAGGGATCCTCCAAGATTTTAAGTCATTGTTTTTCCTGATGGAGTAAAGCTCGTCAAAAGTCAATGAGGCAACTGAACACAATGGCTCAACCGAGCCCTGCTTTGCCAAGACGTCAAATAATTTCAAGCAAACAAAAAAGGTTGCAGTGAAGGTATTTCGAAATTTTAAAATAAAATCACGAATTTAAAGTAAAATTACGACATAAAAGATGTTCTGCAAAATAAAACACTTAAAATAGCTCAGTTGCGATACTATTAGCACAAATAACGATTAATCTAAACTGAGATAAAAAGTGCAAGACGCAGCATGTAGATAACTTTGCCTTCTTCCCGCTGTTGTCAGAGCGGGATCACTGACTCGTGACTGACTCACTAAAAACACGCAAAATATTTTTTTTTCCTCTATTCCTATAGCCGCCGTTATTCATGCTACTTCATGTAAATAATATTTGTGCGCATACCTTCAAATAACACACTTTGAAATTTTATTTCCAACGGTTGAGTAAAAAGTCGCTATCGGTTCATATGCATAAGCTATCTGCATCACTCTTTGGTTTTTATAATCGGTGTTGAAAAACTGACCCATTTTTTGAGTTAACGACTATCATTATTCAACTCCTTGTAGTTTTGAACTCAACCAAACAGACAAGAAAACTAATGGATTAAGTATTGGGTCAAACTAGTAATTGTGGAGGATTTTTAGATGTAAGTAACCCGTATTTGCGTCATAAGGAGAAATTAAGCTCAAAAACCTCCCATAGTTAGCTCATAGCAAGAGAATTCCAGCCCATGGTCCATCTACCACGGAGGATATTCTACGTCAACAAATGTGGTTGGTGCAATCTGGGAGCCAAATTCGTATCGACCAGACATCGCTGGGCGAACCGGGGTCACCACATTGAGAGATGAAGGCTCTATCCCCTGAGCCACCGAGACTTTTTCTGGATTATTTAAAGCATGGAAGGATAAAATAAAAAATGAAAAATATGTTTAATGAAAATTCTGCGTCAAAGAGTAAAAAAGGGGAAAAATTGTGATCGTTTTATTACGATCACTGGTTACCCATTGGTCAGGTCAAATGCTTTATTTTCTGGTTTGAGTGTGATGACGTCAAAATAACGCACGCCATCAAACCCAAAACAAGACCCATTTTGCCAAAAAATTTTAAAATGATAAGAATTCAATGGTTATTGCCTTGAATTTATTTTAGCATTGAACTTTTCAATTTGAATCACTTTTTTCCTCTCATGAAATCCTCCACAAATACTTTAACCCTTTTTTAAATTATGTTTATTTTTACAGGTGTACTGCATTGTGTGTGTTATTTCACAATATCAACAATACCTGTCCGGCAGGGGTAGAGCAGGACAGCATGCTAATGGACCGGTCAGTAATTGCAACACTATTTTATTTTTATGATTTTGTAGTTAGAGATCCGGAATGCAGAATGCTTGGTGCTTAACAACATTCGTTGAAACATTCTTTTTTAAATTCTTTTTTCAAATTCTTCAATTCAAACTTTTCTATGTATAACACTTAAATATTTCTATCTTAATGCACATATGTCATTTCAACTGCATTCAATTTGTGTACTATTCCATACATACTTGTATTTACCATACCATACATACCGTACTTGTGTACCATACCATAATGGCGTGTACCATACCCACAATTTGAAAAATAAAGGAATATTTTTGCCATACATATTGTCTGATTTTTTTTTAAAGTGAGATATGCATGAATGTTTGCATTTATTCTTTCTTTTAAATGAATAAAAAAATTTCATAGGCATATAGATTGAATGTATTTAAAGCTATTTGGATGTATTTAACGCATTTCTTTCTTCAAATTTGCAAAATTGCGCATGGAATTTTTACCATTATTTAGCAAAGTACAATGTAAGGTATTAAATTTTCAGTACATTACATAACATGCTGCCCAAATTTATTTTCAAACACAGACCTAAAGTCTCAACTAAAGCATATTTATACCAGTTAGGAGTATTTTTCGTTAAATTATAATTATTTTTAATGTTGCATTTAGAAGTTTTGCTTTCTAATCAGTACAAAAGTTAGCAGTTTTAATTTTATTGAATGGCAATTAAAATGAGCTCTTTGCTTTTTTTAAACATGAAACCTTTGTTTGTAATATGCATATTTGTGCCTAAAATTTATGCCTGAAAGGAAAATTTTGCGCAAAATATATTATAATGTTTTTTTTTTATAAATTCAAAATTTTAAAGTTGTAACTATCCTAAAAAAGTTAAGTTACTCTTAAGTTTAATTTTAATTAATCATAAAAGTTTCGTTATATTGATAATGTTCGTGAAACATTTCTTCATGTAGCTCAGTAGAAATACATTTTTTTTAATAGAACAATCAAATTCATGACAAATAAATTCATAGGTTTAAAATAAAAATTGATTTCCGAATCATATGTTTGCATAATCATATACATTTTACCAAATTTCATTGACAAATATCAATAGCATCTGGAATAAAAATGAATTCTAAAAGCGATAGAATAACTTTAACTCTAAAAGAGTAAAGTATATCACTTCTTTTAGACTTTAAAAAAGGATGAAGATAACTTTGAGGAAGTTAATACTACACAAAAAATGTACACAAACCGCAATATATCATTCATATGAAAACCTTAAATATTTCTAATATAATATTTTAAATATGTAGGCAAAAATTCCTTTCTTTTTCAATTCACCATTTGTTTCATCCGATGTAAATAATTGTCAATATAACAGGAAACGCCTGATGGGCAAACTCTTTGAATTACTGGGAGTGCGAATAAGTTTCTGCCACTTTCGATCAAAAATTAGCAGTTTATTGTGAAAAAACGGTACATATATTTTATTCAAATTATACTCAATTACTAAGCACTACTTGTCTCATCTTTCTGTGAGCATTCGAATACCACGTCTTCATCTTTTGATGATAACCACGAATCAACACATGCATTGGCCACGAGCCATTGACCCCTAAGAGATGATAGTTTGAAAGAGCAAGGTCTGGTGAATACGACAGGTGGGGTACGATTTCCCATTGAAGTGTTTCGAAATGGCAAAATCAATTTTGATGAAAAATCAACGTTTAGTGTCTCTTGTCATCAGTTCGTATGGAACCCAACTACCTTGTTTTCGGATTATTCCCGATGATTTCAAGCGATGTTAAATTGCTTGCTGAGTCACTTGTAATGTAAGAGCAAGACCTTCTTGCGCTTGGGAGGAATCTTCTTCCAATAATTTTTTCCAATTTCTTGTCTTCGTATGATTTTGGCCCTCCAATACGTTCTCTGTCTTCCCCGTCAAACTCGCAGTTTTTAAACTTCTGAAACCACTCACGACAACTTCTCTCACTTAAAGCAGCCTCACCTTATGCTTATCCAAGCAATCGATATGCCTCAGCTACAGATCTCTTCAAATTACGGAAGTAAATCAAAAATTTCCGCAAATGACGCGGCAAATAATTATTTGGGTACAAAACTTGACATTTTTGCACGAAAACAATAGCGTAATGCAAATACGGGACCATTAATACTTTAAGGTCATGCTGTTACCAGATGAACAAACTTGCAATACGACGTTTAATGCCAGTCAATTTCGACATAATCCGGCTAGTAGTGCCATCTTGTGACAAACCACGGAAACTTATTTGTACACCCAATATTTCACTATCAACATAACCATTTGCCTCAATCTTCGTCGGAAGTAAGGAGACTTAATTAGAGGGGGTGGACAAAATAATGGAGAGAAAGTTCGACTTTTATTACAGTTTTTCATGTTTCTCTAGAAATACCCAAAGAATCATTTTATATATCATCAGAAGTGTTTAGATCACGCGATTTCTCATACATATATCGATGAAGTTTAAAGCTGACAATAAATTACAAATTGACCACGAATTACATACCTATAGGAATTTCATAGTGTTCTTTTTCATTTCTAGCAGCAGCACTTCATATATATCATTCGCTGAAGAGTGAAAACCACTCCTCACAGACCCATGAGGAATAACAACAAATAAAAAATAAATTAAAAACATTTCAAATGCAGAAACAATTAGAACAAAGGAACATTCAATCGAATATCAACAGTAGAAATATGAACATAAACAGAAAATCAGTCAGTCAGCAGTTCCTGCAACTGCTCCCGAGTATTCCAGTATCTGTCAGAGGTGTTTCCCGTAACTGCGGGGCAGACCCCCAGATCCTCAGCATTCATTGGGGAGTCCTCCCCGCACTAGAGACAGTTTGGATCGAGAAAGATCTTAAGTCTATGGAGGTGAGCGGTAAGGCAGTCGTGTTCGATTTCCATCCTGAAGGCAGCAACCATATTGTGTCTCGGGTGATCAGGGATCTTATTCAGAGTCGCCCTCCAGACCTTGTCGCCAATTTGTTTATTTAAATTATTTTCATGACTCTTAGTTAACGTGTTTTTAATTATTCTATTTATGGAAGAGTAAGGAATTTTTCTCTGGGAGCTCTGCGCGATACCAGTTCCTTTTTTAGCAAAAATATGTGCCATTTTGTTTCCATAAATATTACAGTGAAAAGGAACCCACTGTAACCCAATGTTCTTTTTTAAGCACAAAAGTAGCCCAAAATTCTCTTTACAACTTTTAATTCCAAGAAAATCGAAAAAATCAACTGGTGTAACTGCCTTGATTGCCGAGGTAGAGTCGACAACCATAGAATATGATAAATATTGAGGAACTGACAATAAATTACGAACGGAAAATAGTTTGTTTGAACACTCTATGCCAAAAAATGTAGCTATACATTTTTGTAACTTGTAACGATTATTATGGTTATTATTTGCAACAATTCCACAAAATTTCGTAAGCCGAGATAAAATATTATATAGATAAAATATATAGATACTAGATTACTATTATACTATTATACAGATACTAGATGAAACATAAGATATGGACAACTTTATAAAAAAAATAATAATAATTTTTTTTGTCTTACGTTTTTTCGCTACAACTTTAAAACTATTCAACAAAAAAAATTAAACAAAATTTTTGGAGTAATTTGAAATTAATTATGAAATTTTTGCTTTAAAATTTTAAAATAGTTCGTTGAAAATTGTGCAATATATAAGCAATTAAAGTAGTTATTTTGTACTGCACATGCGCGGGAAAAATTTAATTTTTCTCTTCATAATTTTGCAGTGAATCGTATTCGGTAACTGATACAAAAAGTCTGCTTTGAATAGCTTAAAAATTATAAGAGTTTCGAGCAATTTTTTGAGCAGTTTTTGTACTTCTTAAAAGAAAGCTCAAAATGATAAGGGGTTTTCTTCACAAATTCAATTACAAATGATAATATATTACGAAACACGTTCATACACCGAAACATGATTGTACAAGGGAAAAAAACGCGAAAAGATACTTTTATTTGGGGATGATCCCCAAAATGCCGGTGCCTTTAATAAATCTTGTTAAATAGCAAAATATGAAAATTGAGGAAAACCCCTCATCATTTTCAGTTTTCTATTAAAAAGTACGAAAATTACATTAAAAACTGTTTGAAAATTTTAAAATATTCAAGTAGGGCTTTTTTCATTATTTGCCAAATACAATTCACTGCAAAATTAAGAAGAAAATGCTCTCTTTTACGCAGCATGCGCAGCATAAAAGAACAACTTTAATTGCTCATATCTTGATTAGTTTTAAACAAATTTTTCTCAAATTTTTTTTAAAATTGTAATTAGTTTTAAATTACTTCAAAACTTTTGCTAAATTTTGCTGAATGATTTTAAATATTAATGCATTAGTTGCAAGGTAAGACAAAAGATGAGTTTTATTTCAAAGAATATCCTTTTCACCATAAATATTTAACTAGGAATACGCACCTTATAGTATATAATAACTAGGTATGCGAATTATTGCGCATAATAGAGAAAATAATTGTTACACGTTGCAACCTTCTTCCTAAAATTGTTTGGCATAGTCTGTATGAAATAACTTTTTGTCGTTGGCATTTTATTGTCGGTCCTTCAAACCTCAAAAAGCTCTAAAATTCCTATGTGACTATAAGAAATCGCTTAACCTAAGCACTCAGGGTGATGGCTCAGAGATGGCTCAGGTGATATGTATTTCGCTTTCCAATGAGGTGAACCGGGTTCGAGTTCGAATCCCTGCAATTGCTGGTTGATACAAATTCCGCATCCGGCTTGCACCGACCACAGTGCTGACGTAAAGTATCCTCAGTGGTAGACGGATAATGGGTTAGAGTCCCCATCCTGTCAGGCTAACGGCGAGAGGGTTTCGTGGTTTTACTCACCATGCATCCATCAAATAGTCCTCCACCAAGGCAAATTTCTCACACTACTCGATCCAGAAATTCCCTTGTCTTCTGGATTG